GTAACCCTTCAATATACATACATACATACATAGCCGATCGCATCTGGGTTCCTATCGCCTCGAGACCGGTTTTCAATTCAACACTTTGAGATTAATGACCCCATCCGACATATGAATTCTGCCTTGCAGATGTACGTTTCGAACCTTTTGCTCAAATCTACATACAGGCCAATCCTCAATAACCAATCTGCTTACACCTTCATTAAATCCGTTATACACTGGCACATAGAGGACGGTCCTGCCCGCTTTTTATATATTAGGGAGCGAGAGTCATTTTTCTCTTATAGTGTTAATCCAGCCATACTCGTTTTGTTTATATGTAAGGAATTTTTTCATTGCTTGCTCATCATTCTTCCTAACCTACTATTGTATTCTTGCATACCTGTTCTAAAATTATAAGATTCATGTAGAAGTTATTCTTACTTGCTATGAACGGCCCCCACAGTTCTTCAATAAAAATTATTATTATTACTATAAATGGGCTAGCAGATCATAAAAAAGATCAAGATCCTCAAAGATACGGTCTTCAGTTCTGATTTCATTCAATTTAGACAAGTCCTGACTAACCCCGACATTGTTGGCGGTCAATTTGTTCCTTACTTTGTCTTTCTGGTGAATACTCTGCATGTGCATGTAGTCGTTGCTTGGATGCTCATTACTGCTGTCAACCGACTGTCCCGAGCAATCCTTCAGGACTAGTTGTGATTCCAGAGTCCTTTTATGACGTTTCCCTATCCCCACCCTACCCACGGGTTCCTGTTTTCGCATCCAAATACGTGCTCTGTAGGACTCTCGGGGTAGTTACGAGAACACGAGGGCAACAATAGACTTGATGACGTGAACTATACCGTCTCTTGGCAAAAGAGAAAGCTCGTCATTTACACCAAGAAACATAGGCAAGATGGCGTCCGCCCCTGGTAATGTTTTTCGACATCGCTTAAATCTTCCTACGTGGAAGTCGAGTCTGCCTTTATCTGCGGCTTCGTTAACGTGTTCCTGCTGTTGCCAGCAGCAGCGGTTGAGGTTGCTGAGTTGCGACCCGTGTTTGGAAATGCAGCCGAGGTGATATTTTCCGCGCTTTTTCGTTTGCCTGTTCGTTTTTTGGACTCTTACAGTGGAAACATTCCGGTCATCGAGGTTCTGTTACATGGACGCCCTTAAGTCAGTAGGCTCCTTTTTAAGTTTTTCCACTTTGATATTTATATATGCGCATCCACTACAAGGCTCGTCCTCGTATCTCACACTTTTCGCGGCAAATGCGCTTTGACACGCTTTGCTGGTTGTTGACTGAAAGCGCGGGTAGAACGAGCGCAGATTCTGGATGCGAAGGACATCCCACCAGACGTATCTTCCAATGAGGTGCCGGCGCTGCCCGGACTATTACAGTCACATTGCTGAGACTCCATAAACTCCCACATGGTAGAATACCTGTTATTTGTCTTTCGAGGTTATAACGAATACGTCGTATTATATCTGACGAAATGAAGTGAGTACTCAAAACACTGTGAGCGAAAAAACAGTTTAAATCTGATAAATTGTACTCAATTTAATCAGAAACGACTTAGTCCTTTGCAAATCTCCGGGGGCTTGAATAACTTCAGACACTGACGGATTCCGAGAGATTGTTTTTCCGGGCTGTAAATAACCGAGAGATGGCTACATAGTCAACTGAATCGTGCTGATTAACAAATTCCGCTTAATTCAGTTTCCTGGCGATTATGGACACGTAAAAAATACTCCAAAAATGCACAAAGAAATTCTGCAGGTTCGAGTCCTGTATCAATGTCAGAGACGATAACTGCGAAGTGCTAACCAAATCGAAATAGTCCCAGTTGGAGCGCAGAATAAATCCGTCGTTCTCGGTCGAGCTTGTATCTTGTTTTTTCTCGATAAATCCCCACGTGTCAGTTGTCCGTGAGCTTTTATTGAGATCAGAGTAGACCCATGCAAGACTATACTAGGTAATATGAAAAAATCGACCAATATTCTTATGCTGCCATGTTAGCAGGAACAATTTGATATCTGATTCAATATTATTTTTATATCTTTGATAGTTTCTCACTGCTGAAAGTTTTGTGCTCTTGAGAAATATTCATCTTTCTAAACTGATAGTCCAGACAATTATGATTAGACTTCCGGGAAACGAAAAAGAATGTTGCGACTAGTTTTTCCAACTGCCCAGACAAACTGACAAGAGTCTTCTTCTTGTCAAGTATGTCCAGTCGTGGTTGCCTGGGTGTGATGCTTCGGCCGGTCTTGAGGCTGATTTATCGGCGCAGCCTCTTTATTAGACAAGCTTTGTAGGGTCTCCTTTGACGGAAGTGTGGTTACTTGCCACGACTCATACTATCAATGATAAGTAAATGCGAAACGAGGCAAAGGTTTACAAACCAAGCGGCATCTGTGGATAGTGTAAGAGGACGTCGGGAAAAGCTGATAATACAATGTACATTAAATCACGGCGCATCGTCTGGGTGTAGAAAAAATAAATGCTAAGCCGCCGTTTCGGATGAATTGGCTTGTGTGTCCCCTGCCAGCATCAGCACCAGCGTGTCATGTCTCAGGTTTGTAATAACAAGTGACTATAACGGGGGCTATGTCCCGACTAGATGAAGTGTACCGTGGATCTACGACGGGACAATACATT